TGTACTAGGGTTTAATAACACAATATTTTTCAAAGGAACAATATGCTTACCCTTGCAAAACATTCCATATCTCTTTCTGTAGGGAGCTCTGTCAGGAAGATGCAATGCTGCTTGGGGACAAAATGAAATCTTCTGTCAATCAAAAGTGCTGTTTCCTCTTGTTCATGCTTGCTATAAAAACCTGCAACATAGAAGCAAACACACCCCTATCATTTGAGCATGGCGCAACAGTGCAAAATTGAATTTTCTTTCTGATATTCACTGGCTAAATGACATAGAACCGTTGATAGACAACCTGCAGCAATGAGAACATGTCTTAAAACTGCTGGAAAAGGCAACAGTACATATTGCTTACAGACTTGGACACACATGTCAGAAAATGCTCAAAACATAGCATTTTTTACGAGATTTGTGGGCGCTGAGAGCGCTGGCCTCTCATACATATATATATATATATACATATATATATATACATATATATACATATATATATACATATATACATATATACATGTATTACATGTATTACATGTATATACATATATACATATATTACATATATATATATACACATAGATATATATATATATACATATATATATATACATATATATATATATACACATGTATACAAATATATATATATATACATACATAAATATATATATACATACATCATTCTATCGGGATATGTAGTAACCTCCAAAAAGATAGAACAGCGAATTTCATGGGGCCATTTTTTCGCACAAAAACCAATATAGGTAGGTCAAGTCATTGGCTATCTCAAAAAAGACATTCCAATCTGTGGTCCCGCAGGCTTTTCATTTTGACCCATACCAAGATAATTGAAAAATACTATAATTTGTGTAACAAAAATAGTTTTCATTTCTCCTATAGTGTCCTATCTTTGAAACTTCCGCCACTGCCTTGTGAGGTACTGGTCAAAAATGTTTGTATCATTCATATAATCCAGTAATAAATTCTTAATCATCACTCTTATAATATCCTTAGTATGATCTTTAATCATGCATATAATCCAGTAGTAAATCGTTAATCATCACTTGTATAATATCCTTCGTATAATATCTAATCATTCATGTAATCCAGTAATAAATCTTTAATCATCACTTTTACAATATCATCAGTATATGTAAACTCTAACCATTCATATAATCCAGTAATAAATCTTTTAATCATCTCTTTTATAATATCATTAGTACAGTATAATCTCTAATCATTCACATAATCCAGTAATAAATCTTTAATCATCACTTTTATAATATCATTGGTATAATCTCTAATCATTCATATCATCCAGTAAAAATGTTTTAATCATCACTTTATAAAATCATTAGTATAATATCTAATCATTCATATAATCCAGTAATAAATCTTTAATCATCACTTGTAAAATATCATTAGTATAATATTCAATCATTCATATAATCCAGTAATAAATCTTTAATCATCACTTTTATAATATCATTATATATTATAACCTCTAATCATTCATATAATCCAGTGATAAATCTTTAATCATCACTTTTATCATATCATTAGTATAATCTCTAATTATTCATATAATCCAGTATTAAATCTTTTAATCATCGCTTTTGTAATATCATTAGTATAATCTCTAATCATTCACATAATTCACATAATCCAGCAATAAATCTTTAATCATCACTTGTATAATATCATTAGTATAATATCTAATCATTCATATAATCCCGTAATAAATCTTTAATATCATATAATCTCTAATCATTCATATATAATAAATCTTTAATCATAGTATAATCTCTAATCATTCATATAAGTAATAAATCTTTAATCATCACTTTTATAATATCATTAGTATAATCTCTAATCATCTTTTAATCATCACTTTTATAATATCATTAGTATCATCTCTAATCATTCATATAATCCAGTAATACTCCTTAATCATCACTTTTATTATATCATTAGTATAATCTCTAATCATTCACATAATCCAGTAATAAATCTTTAATCATCACTTTGATAATATCATTAGTATAATTTCTAATCATTCATATAATCCAGTAATAAATCTTTAATCATCACTTGTAAAATATCATTAGTATAATATTCAATCATTCATATAATCCAGTAATAAATCTTTAATCATCACTTTTATAATATCATTATATATTATAACCTCTAATCATTCATATAATCCAGTGATAAATCTTTAATCATCACTTTTAAAATATCATTAGTATAATTTCTAGTCATTCATATAATCCAGTAATAAATCTTTAATCATCACTTGTATAATATCATTGGTATAATCTCTAATCATTCATATCATCCAGTAATAAATCTTTAATCATCACTTTGATAATATCATTAGTATAATCTCTAATCATTCATATAATCCAGTAATAAATCTGTAATCATCACTTGTAAAATGTCATTAGTATAATGTCTAATTATTCATATAATCCAGTAATAAATCTTTTAACCATCACTTTTATAATATCATTAGTATAATCTCTAATCATTCATATAATCCAGTAATAAATCTTGAATCATCACTTTTATAGTATCATTCGTATAATTTCTAATCAATCATTTAATCCAGTAATAAATCCTTAATCATCACTTTTATTATATCATTAGTATAATCTCTAATCATTCATAAAGTCCAGTAATAAATCTTTAATCATCACTTGTATAATATCATTAGTGTAATCTCTAATCATTCACATAATCCAGTAATAAATCGTTAATCATCACTTTTATAATACCATGAGTATAATCTCTAATCATTCATATAATCCCGTAATAAATCTTTAATCATCACTTGTATAATATCATTAGTATAATCTCTAATCATTCACATAATCCAGTAATAAATTTTTAATCATCACTTGTATAATATCATTAGTATAATCTCTAATCATTCACATAATCCAGTAATAAATCTGTAATCATCACTTTTATAATATCATTAGTATAATCTCTAATTATTCATATAATCCAGTATTAAATCTTTTAATCATCGCTTTTGTAATATCATTAGTATAATCTCTAATCATTCATATAATCCCGTAATAATCCTTAATCATCACTTTTACAATATCATTGGTATAATCTCTAATCATCCATATCATCCAGTAATAGATCGTTTAATCATCACTTTTATAATATCATTAGTGTAATCTCTAATCATTCATACAATCCAGTAATAATCCTTAATCATCACTTTTATAATATCATTAGTATAATGTCTAATTATTCACATAATCCAGTAATATATCTTTTAATCATCACTTTTATAATATCATTAGTAAAATCTCTAATCATTCATATAATCCAGTAATAAATCGTTAATCATCACTTTTATAATATCATTAGTATATGTAAACTCTAACCGTTCATATAATCCAGTAATAAATCTTTTAATCATCTCTTTTATAATATCATTAGTATAATCTCTAATCATTCACATAATCCAGTAATAAATCTTTAATCATCACTTTTATAATATCATTAGTATAATCTCTAATCATTCATATCATCCAGTAATAATGTTTTAATCATCACTTTATAACATCATTAGTATAATCTCTAATCATTCACATAATCCAGTAATAAATCTTTAATCATCACTTGTATAATATCATTAGTTTAATCTCTAATCATTCATTTAATCCAGTAATAAATCTTTAATCATCACTTGTACAATATCATTAGTATAATCTCTAATCATTCATATAATCCAGTAAGAAATCTTTAATCATCACTTGTATAATATCATTAGTATAATCTCTAATCATTCATATAATCCAGTGATAAATCTTTAATCATCACTTTTAAAATATCATTAGTATAATTTCTAGTCATTCATATAATCCAGTAATAAATCTTTAATCATCACTTGTATAATATCATTGGTATAATCTCTAATCATTCATATCATCCAGTAAAAATGTTTAATCATCACTTTATAATATCATTAGTATAATCTCTAATCATTCATATAATCCAGTAATAAATCTTTAATCATCACTTTATAATATCATTAGTATAATCTCTAATCATTCATATAATCCAGTAATAAATCTTTAATCATCACTTTTATAATATTATTAGTATAATCTCTAATCATTCATATAATCCAGTAATAAATCGTAATAAATCTTTAAATCATCAGTGTTAAAATATCATTAGTATAATGTCTAATCATTCATATAATCCAGTAATAAATCTTTAATCATCACTTGTAAAATATCATTAGTATAATCTCTAATCATTCATATCATCCAGTAATAAATCTTTAATCATCACTTTTATTATATCATTAGTATAATCTCTAATCATTCATATAATCCAGTAATAAATCTTTAATCATCACTTGTATAATATCATTAGTATAATCTCTAATCATTCATATAATCCAGTAATAAATCTTTAATCATCACTTGTAAAATATCATTAGTATAATCTCTAATCATTCATATCATCCAGTAATAAATCTTTAATCATCACTTTTATTATATCATTAGTATAATCTCTAATCATTCATATAATCCAGTAATAAATCTTTAATCATCACTTGTATAATATCATTAGTATAATCTCTAATCATTCATATAATCCAGTAATAAATCTTTAATCATCACTTGTAAAATATCATTAGTATAATCTCTAATCATTCATATCATCCAGTAATAAATCTTTAATCATCACTTGTATAATATCATTAGTATAATCTCTAATCATTCATATCATCCAGTAATAAATCCTTAATCATCACTTTTATTATATCATTAGTATAATCTCTAATCATTCATAAAGTCCAGTAATAAATCTTTAATCATCACTTGTATAATATCATTAGTGTAATCTCTAATCATTCATATAATCCAGTAATAAATCTTTAATCATCACTTTTATAATATCATTAGTATAATATCTAATCATTCATATAATCCAGTGCAGTATAGGAAAATAGTCCCAATCCGAGGCACCAAGGCTTTCCAAGGTCTGGATGCACCTCGCATCGCCAGGACCAAGGTCAGTGCACTTCTCCCAGGGACAGCTGGGGAATCTGTTACAGTTAACTATGGAAAACATGTGGAAAATGATGATTGTTTCCATGGGTAACAGATGGAAAATGTGGAAAATGACCCATCATGACCCATAATGACCCATAATGACCCATAGGAATAGATTGTTTACTACAATACTGGATGATTCATGGATAAATATAGAATCCCAACCATTGGTTGCCAAACAAAATAGGACAAACAAAAAAGTGTATACCCTGGCCCATTTTGCGACATGCCCAACCTGTTTGCATGTTTCTTCATAGACATCATACACATCTCATATATGTTTGTGTCCAAGCGCACGTATGTATACACAAGGATGTATGTTCATGTAACATAACATATCCATTTTGCATCATCGAAGGAAGTTTAGAAGTCAAACTTCCGACAATATGGACAGATGAAAAGCAGAGCAGGGCAGAGGCAGAGAGTAGAGGAAGATTAGAAGAGAGAAGATCAGAAGAGAAAGAGTAAGAGGACAGAAGATACAGATGCGCGAAAAGGTAGGAAAGTCGCGAAACATTGTGTTTTTCCAATGATTTGTGGCTCCGGAGGGTCAAAAAGTAGGCTCGCTAAAGCGGCGGGTGCGGACCCAGCTGGCCACAGGAGCGATGAAAAATTGCACGCCGTTGTGGCGCGAAGCACATTTCCAAGTCAAAATGTTAAAAACACTAGGGGTTCGGACCACTTTTGGAAGTTGAGATGTCAAAAAAGTGCACGGCGTTGTGGCGCGAAGCACATTTCCAAGTCAAAATGTACAAAACACACCAGGTCCGGACCACTTTTGGAAGTTGCGATGTCGAAAAAGTGCACGCCGTTGTGGTGCGAAGCACATTTCGAAGTCAAAAGTGTTAAAAACTGGCGGTCTCGGACCACTTTTGGAAGTTGAGATGTCAAAAAAATGCACGCCGTTGTGGCGCGAAGCACATTTCCAAGTCAAAATGTACAAAACACCACATGTTCGCGCGACTTTTGGAGGTTCAGATGTCCCTTCGCTTCGCTTCACTACACTACACTACATTACACTACCTTCCACTACACTACACTACAACTACAAATACAACTACAACTACAACTACACAACTCCACTACACTCCACTACACTCCACTACACTAAATTACACTACACTACAGTACATTACATTACACTACACTCCACTACACTACATTACACTACACTCCACTACACTACATTACACTACACTACACTTCACTACATTACTCTACACTACACTACAACTACAACTACAACTACAACTACACTCCACTACACTCCACTACACTCCACTACACTCCACTACACTCCACTACACTCCACTACACTCCACTACACTCCACTACACTAAATTACACTGCATTACACTACATTCCACTACACTACACTCCACTACACTACATTACACTACACTACACTACCTTCCACTACACTCGGCTACACTGAATTACACTACACTACACTACATTACACTACACTACATTACACTCAATGACACTGGACCACAGATAGACAGGTAGACAGATAGACAGATAGATAGCTAGATAGACAGATAGACAGGTAGACAGCTAGACAGATAGACAAATGAAAGCGAGAGAGAGAGAGAGATAGATAGATAGACAGATAGACAGGTAGACAGCTAAACAGATAGACAGATGAAAGAGAGAGAGAGAGAGATAGATAGATAGAGAGATAGATAGATACATAGAAAATAGATAGGTAGGTAGGTAGGTAGATAGTCAGAGAAAGAGAGAGAAAGAGAGGAGACATCAATCACCTTTCGATCCAGCAGTGGCTTCGCTTTGCCATCCCTGATTCACAACAACCAACCTCTCCTATAGGTGTCTTATTTTTGAAACTTCCGCCACCGCCTTGTGCGGTACTACTGGTATATAATGTATGGATGATTACATCATACATCATATTGTCCTAAACGAATATCATGTCATGTAATATCAAATAGACATATTATGTTATCATCCGTGTAATTACATATCACTAATTTAGTTTTATTTATAACATCAGTATGATCTCCAGTGCAACCGTGACCTATCAAAACTTCTTCTCACCAACTTGTGCATCAAAGGAACGTCACACCCCAACGCGTCTCGCTGAAACCGAACCTCTTCGCCCAGCACCTGCAGGGACATGCCATCAGGTTGGATAAGGCACCGTTTCGTATGGTGACAAGTCACCATGCCATTGTCTTGAGCAAGATATTGGTGTAATTATCCTGAGTCTCCGCCATCGTAGCCAGGCTTTACCCCCCAAGAAAAAACCTGCCTCGCTGGACTGGTCGGTGCTCAGTTCTACCTCCACTGTCCAGTTCAGCAAGGGTTGCTGCAAAGGGCGAAAGAACTTCGCATCCAAGAATCCCAACTTCAAATTTCAATAAGTTTGGCTGTTTCTGACCTCAAACACAAAATGCATTCGTGCCTGCGCATTCCCGGGTTCCACCATGTTGCTGTTGCCCAGTGCTTGTTCTGATTTCGTGTGGTTTTTCAGACACTTACTTGGCCAGAGCTGATGGTCATTTAGTCATTCGCTTAGTAAATTCCAACAGCCGAGTAAACAAATGTGTGAGGACTCCGTTTACCGCGAATGCAAACATGTGTACATGTGTAGCACTCGCTCTATTCTGACTCTTTTGCATTTCTCTCCTGTTCGCATCGATTGAAAGAATGGCTTCAACAAATACAACGTGAACACCCGTTTGACCATTGATCTTTCATGGTAGTCTGGTATGTCCCAAACTTGGGAACAAAATCCACCAAAATGGCGAATTTTCTGGGAGCTACACTGCCCTGCGAGAAAAAGATCACTTTGCTGTGCAGTTTGCTGGCTGCCAAATACCTATTACATCCTATTACATCCTATTACACAGTTCATGAATGTTGTCGATGTCGATCTCCCATACTATCTGAAGTGTTTCAAGCTTGCCCCAGTAAGGGAGTCCAATAGGGTGCACGATGCATCGTCACTTCAACTTCACACCTCATCTAAATGTGAGAAGTATAAAGCCACGAAACATGGGGACTTTGCTGAGTGGAGCAAGAGAAGTGGATCTACATGCCAACATCGATATGATTTAAAAGTTTCCCTACTGCCAAAGCTGTGCGGATTTTCACCATTTCCAGATTCAAGCTTTGTCCGGCAAGACTTGTGTGACGAAACTGCCACACAGGTCTCATGCTGGGGCAAATCAAACATCTAAGTCTTTCAGCATCGCAGAGGAAAACGTCCAGGATCCAGTAGGCCATTTTGGCGACCACTCACTTCTTTTTGCCCTTTTTGGAGGCCTTGTTCAGCAGCCTCAGCTGTTTTCTCCTCTCTTCCAAGCCTTCAACTGGCTCATCATTGCGTTTGGCAAACTCCAGATCCAGCTCCCGGGTGATCTTGATACCCATCTGTTTGGCTGTGCGCATCAGGGAGAGACAAATGGTTCTGGTTGGGATTCCAATGAACTGCGGATCCATACTTTTGGCTTTTGCGATATGATACAGCTCCTTCAACGTGATGTTCCCCACAGCCGGCGCACCGTTTCCATAATCGCTGCCCTTTGGCAAGCGAGCACATCGTAGCAGGAACCAGGGCGCCTGTGGCGAACGAATGAAGAATTTGTAGGTGCGGTCAGTTCGTGGCACCAGCGTGGCCTGAATGGGCACTTCTGGTCGCACCTTGGTGGTTCTCGCATTGAAGTCCTTGCAGAAATTCACCATGTTGATCCCCAAGGGTCCCAACGCCTGTCCCAGTTTGGGTGCTGCTTTGGCAGTGGCACCAGGTACAATCAACCGGAAACGCCCGACGATGGACATGGCATCTCAACGGGGGTGGGCAAAATGATGAATCCGCAGACTCTTGGGGGTTGGTTGCTCCTCTTGTTTGTTCTAAATATTGAAACCTTAAAAAAAAGAAAATGGCAACAGCTAGGACAGCTAGGACAGCTAGGATCAAGGAGCAAATGAAGAAACGCTGAACACTTTCCGTAAGAAAGACTTTGTTCACTTCATCTTTGGCTGTTCACTGTGTCGAGCCAGTGACCAAGTGCAAACTGTCCACTTTCGGGTTGACAGTATGTGTTCAAATGGATAGAGTGAGGCTAGTGACTTCAACACACGTTTCCCTTCGAATTGTGTGAATCTATATCACTGGTCTTCAGATGTTCAATCAGTTTTGACACCCTCGGTGAGATTCATTAAGATTCCGGCATGGATTAAAAATTGGGAAACCTAAATTGGATGGGCCTAGTCGGCCTAGTTCATATTTGGTTTTGTGAGTCTTGCTTAAACTTTGACCCCATACATAGCCACCTTTTATGGTTAAATCAGTTCCATCCCACTCTATCTCCCATTGTTTGCGCTGATATCCCCATTTAGAGTACCCTCTGCCAATCACATTACATCCCATTGAAGCACCCGTTTTTTTCCTCACCTGGACTATGTATCGTCGACACAGGCCACAGGCTTCCTTGGAAAATCGCATCGCAGGAACCAGCAATCGCAAGGTGCATCTAACCCTCCCGAGGATTTTTGGGTAAATGAGGACAAGCATCTGTTGTGATAAAACCCTTGAACATGTTTCATAATGGTCACCCGGTTTCATTCCAAAGTTCCATAATTAATCCATATTTTTGCGTTTAGGGGGTTATCAACCGTCGAAATTGGGGTTTCCGTTGTGTTTAGCACATCACTTCCAGCCACAAACCCGAATCCTTGGGGACTTTGGGCCACTTCCGCGGAGCCAAGCGTCTTGCCACCGTCGCATCTGCCCACAATAGCGTCCACTTCATCTTCGATAATGGCAGAATAACGATCATCGCGCAGGTCCTAGCACACAAGACTGCCGCAACACTTTAGATTTCATCCGAACAGTCCAGTTCGCGGGGAGGATTTCTCCCAGCCTAAGTCGTTCTGGAAAATCAGAACTCAAGTTCTCAGTTCAGATTCCATCAGAACTTCCTCAGTTCAGATTTCGAGCTCCGCCGCGGCCGCCGCGCTCCTCGTAGCTGAGGCCCAAATCGCTGTGCGCCACGATGTGATTTTTCAGGTGTCGCAAGGTCACCTGAGCTCCCAACTCCCAACGCTGGGAATGGGTTGTTGGGGTTCGGAACCCGGGTTGAAAATGTTGGGCAATGATGTACCCAAATCACAGAGTAAAGAGTGATGAAGTGATGATAGTCATAATCATCATAGTCATTAATAAAAAACTAAGAATCGATAATGATACAACATAATGGTAATAGGACTAAAATCACACCAAAACTTGCAATACAGCTGCTAGGACAGAAGCCGCGAGGTCAAGTGACTCAATCTATATACCTACTTTGGTAGTAAGAAAACTGCCATTAACTCACGGGCAAAATGAATGTTTGGTGTTTCTGGGTCCTATTGAAAGTGACAACTGTACAAGGGAGAACCTTGAGCATTGTGCAACCACAAACCAATAAACAGAGCCTCCCTCCAACGTCAACAACCTCCGAATGTACTACCTCCACCAAGCCAAGTCTTAGGAATATGTTGCGAAGCAAGATGATAACAAAAAGAAAAAGTCAATTGGTCGAATTAGCCCCCCCTCGATTTTCCACAAACCCAAAAAAGTTGCCTTCTAAATTCAAAATGGCTCGGTTGCCATCCCAGAAATATCAGTCAATGCTATTAATCATCATCCCAGCTCTCGGATGGTGAATATGTTGAGCATAGTTGAATATTTATATATATATATTTATGTATAATGTGTATATATAATGTGTATGTATATATGTATATATAATGTGTATATATGTATAAATATATATATATATGTATACAGTATATTTATATACACATATATTGTGGGAATCCAGTTTTCAATTATTGAATAGAATGTCCAATGGTTTGATTCCACAGTGAATCTAATTCTAAAATCCACAGAATCGTGTATCTAATCTATATTATATATATATATACATAGGATCATATAGGAACCCCCAACCTGTGTTTATGTCAAGAAATCGAGAAACAAATGATTTGCACAGTATAACCATTTTCTACACTTTTGAGTTGCTACATAGGGAAAAACAGCCAGTGGCTTGATTCCCAGTGGCCTTTCCTTTCCGATAGTCCTTGTAGTTGGACTTCACGAAGTCTCTCACCAAGGGAATCGCCGTGTTGGCAAACGTCACATCAGGTGCGCCCCTGGGCGATTCCTGGGCTCCAAAAGTCTAGGAGAATGGAATGGAATGGCAAGAAATCCCAGCAGGATGCAAAACATCTTGACACGAAAGAAGAACGGCTCCAAGGGTCAACCAGCTCCGTAGATGGGTCTGGAGTAAAGGACAGCAGCAGCAGTGCAGATAGGGTTGCTAGCCCTAAAATGAGCCCAAGAGTGACCTGGGACCATCAGCAAGTGGACCCTCCAAGTCCAAGTGTTGAACTTTTTAATGACAGCTGCAAGTAGCAAGATGTAGCAAGTATATCAATGTGTCTCATGGTAACCTTGGGATTCAACCTTCAATACAGCAGCGTTGCTAAAGATTCAAGCGACTCCACAGCACTTCCAGGAGCAGAAGGACGAAGCTTTTTGCCCTGGACTTTTTTGCATGGCACGAATGGGTCTGAAAATGGAGCACAGCCCCCAATTGATGGCTATTTGATTACCCTCTGGTAATTTAACATAACTATGGAACATCACCATTTTTAATGGGAAAATCCACTATAAATGGTCATTTTCAATAGCTATGTTAAATTACCAGAGGGTAACCCATTCATGAGCAGATTTAGGGGATCCCACCAGCCTGCGCCATTCGCAGGCTGCTGTTGCTCGGCGTTCGCATCACCCTTTTTTCGTTGACGAGCCATGGTGGTGACTCAAAGCTGCATAGCTGGGTTATACACAGGCAATTCCCTGGGGCAGTGCGGATGGGTACAAAGGAAAGAAACTAGCCCACCTGCACATAGCTTGCAACTTGAGATTCACTCTTCCAATTGAAACGTATTCAAGCACTGCAGTTGAATCTTGGTTGCCTCTTGGATGCATATCTGTATCCTTATATGCGCATGGTAGACTCATGGACTGTGTCTCTTGATATCACAAAGCTCTCAGCTCACACATCCCAAACAAGTCGCGTGATGTTGGTCCCATCTTGGATCGCCCTTAAAAAGGCGCCCAAATCGGTGGATGCCCCAAACTGGCACTTTGAACAGGGAGATTTTTCATGAAATCACTGGATGCTAGAGCTAGCCCATTCTTGATAAAACCCATTCTCAAGTGCTGAGGATTCTGAGGTATCTCCGTGCTGTTTTCTCATCAGTAACTGTCCTTCAACCTATCTGGATGCTTTGTCCAGGTCAGTTTGTACAATTAAGTCAGCCTGATTCACCGACTCCTGAACCACCTGCGAACAGAGAATCCATCTCTCAGCAATCGCTTGTTTAAGACGCAAGACGCTGTTGAGATCAAAGATATCAGAGTGACATTGTCAATCTAAAGCGTTTGTATAGTGGATATGATGTCAAAAAAAAAACAAAAAATGTTCATCAACCTCAATCTTTTACTGAATTCATAGTAGACAAGGACGCCCCCTCAACCGCCTCAACCTGACCTGGCAGCTGTGCCCCTCCCGCCTTCGCATTTGCTCTGTCCACCTCATCACAGCGCCGATCGATTTCTTCGGGAGTGTAGCCTCGCAGGACATCGGACCCCACTATAGGTACCAAATGTAAAGCATATGACATTGTAATGGTTATGACATGTTATGACTGTATCTCAATAATGGTTATTCAACATCAAACCCCAATACTGGTTTTGGCATGATTACCTATGTGGATACTTACATGATTTCCCTTTTTAAGTCGGGAACTGGGGTTGAATGACTTGAAGTGACTTGAACGGGTTTCTAATACTTTCCTGTCCCACAAGTTGTAGGGGTCATCGGTCGTCCCTTCATTTTGCCTGGAATGGCTTTGTTGCGCTCCTTGACCCGCGCAATGCACTCCTGCCATGGCAAGTCAGCGGCCACAAGGGCCACAAGGGCCACAAGTCCTTCTTGAGGATGGGGTGGTCAGAAAATCACAATACTACTTCATGGGGTTTCACGACCATTTCAAGTGTATTTAACGACCCAAGATGCGGCCATGATGTCCTTTTGGGCGATCACTGCCGGGGTCAATTTTGGTACCTTTTCTTTAGCCGTTGGTTCCTCAATTCCGAGTACCCCCCAGACATCGATTCTGGACCTCCAAGTCTGCCTCCAGATAGATCTTGTAGTCAAAAAAATCCGCTAGTGACCCCCACCTCAGTTTTCCACCAGGGATTGAAATGCATTTTTTCCCCTGGGTAACAGGAAAAAGCACCCGCTTGCACTGGCAAAACTAGAGTTTTGATGTCAACCTAATGGTTCGCATCGCTTTTGAACATACCCTCTGGTAATTTAACATATAACATAGCTATTGAAAATGACCATAGAAATAGTGGATTTTCCCATTAATAATGGTGATTTTCCATAGCTATGTTAAATTACCAGAGGGTAGCCCATCTTCAACTTTTAAGCTCTGGAATTTCCAAAAGATTTGGAGCGGCATATAGACGATCGCCATGACATCCTGGTGAAGACCCTCATTTTTCTCGGCTTTGCCATGAATTCACAAGACCTACGTGTTCGCCCATTGTTGAGAGGACTCCCTGAATATCATTTATGTATATATATATATATATTTTATATATATATATATACATTTATATAATATCTATTTACATCTATTTCCATCTATTAAGCAGCATTTATGCCCACCAGTTCAATCTCGCTATCCCAATATTCCTGAAGGTTCATGCGCCCATATATCCCCATGATTGCCGATGAATACCCCCATTGTTCACGGCTGATTGATTCATTTCCCTATTTTTTGAACCGTACCCAGAAAGATCCCCTTTGCCGGTTATAACACCACTTGTGGATGTGACCGTTTCAAACCCATTGTACCCATTGGTGATAGTTAATAATTTTCAATATTCCCTGCACATCCGCATAGATTTCAGCCGCGGAATATCTCTCCATTTTTTTGAGATATCTCATTCATAAATACCCATTTGAGTATGTTTAAAATGAGCTATATATAATCACCTCGTTTTCAGGCCATTGAATAAGGAAAATGATGATCTCCCATAGGAATTTAAGGCATTTTCCATGGTTTTTCCCCTCAGCCAAGAGACCCATCCTGCTGCCGCAAGAGGTAGAGCCCCTCCACCAGCACAATCCGATGCAGGCTCCGTTCGAAGCACAGCGTATCGTCCACGGGATCACCAACGGCCTCGAAGGATCTCGAAGGTACCCTCTGACCATGAAATGCTGGGTTAACCTTTTATCAAAACTTTTATCCCATAGAAAATAGTAACACTGTACTGGATGATTATCCCATTTTGTATGGGCTACCCAATAGTTACCTTTTACATCCTTTTTATCCCATACAAGACATGTTATTTTTGTAACCCACAAATAGTTGCACTGAACGATTTGTTCCTGGGGCCTGTAATTTTCTGATACTAGTGCCCACTCTTCGTGTAGGTCAAGATAAAAGTATATGTATATATATATAATATGCAGAATTAGGTGTAATTATCGGTCCACCTGTCGAAAATGTATATAGGTGGTTTACAGAACAAGGTTTGTTTTCTGCAAGGCCACACACATGTGCCGAAAATATCCGAAAATAAATTTTCTGAATTGTGACCATGAAATTGCGTCAAAGAAAACCATCAAAACGATGCGGCCAGGCAACATGGTCGAAATCGGGAAACCACACTTTGGGTTCCTGGCCCTCAACCACTTGCCGCAATTTCTCACAAAGTCCCTCAGGGTCAAAAGTATCAGCAGCCCCTCGGCGATAGACAGCATCATCCGCATCCGGCCTCGACCTCAACGACTGCAGGGGCACATGGAAACCATCCAAGGGAACCACGAAACACTTCGGATGTAACAAACGCCTCAGAACCCCCGAAGTGGTCGACTTCCCTGCACCCGGCATGCCAGCCAGCGCCACCAGCAAGGGGCGACCACACGCAGCAGCGCGGTCTTGGAGATCTGCAGCCAGGGCAGTCTCCCAATCCAGGCGCCGCAGCAGTTTCTGGTCCAAGTCCGAAACGAAGTCAGTAACTGCATTGATGAACTGCGCCTGACCTTCAGGGCTGCGAACCCCATGGCCGCCATTGGGCAAAATCACTGACCTGGTCAAGTTGGCTGGAAAGGCAGCCATTGCATTGGCCATGCGGTGACACAAGGCAGTGGAATCAACAAAAGGTGGCACGTACTCATCATCTGCAGAAATGGCCAGCAAGCAAGGCACGTTCACATGTCCGAGTTTCTCCCTCAGCTCTGATTCCGTCAAATCGGAGGAGAACATGTCGTCGTCGGCCATCCGCCGAGTCAGTGAATCGAAACGGTAGGCAGTGATGACGTCAGGTGGTCCAAAGAGCTGACATGCGCTCCTGGGAAGCACTTCTGATCCTTTGCCCTCAGAAATCATTTGAGATGCCACTTGTTTAAACCGTTCCAACTGTGTAAGTTCGTCCTCACTACGCTGTTCGGCCAAGAGCGCTTCACGATCGCTCACAGGCGCTTGTAAAACGATTCCGTGCACCAGAGATTTTTTCATCCCAACCTTCAAGAAATGTACTGCATCCTGGCAGCCTGTGGAAGAACCTAGCACCACCACTTTTGAAATGCCACGGTTCGTTTCCAAAAAGGACAAAAGTTTATCAAGTCCCTCAGCATCATCTTGAAGGCTTCCAAACCCCCAACCCCGATAGCTGCTCTGCAACACCGGTTGGAAAGTTCGCCACCCCAGCGTTTTCAGTGCCTTGGCCAAATTGGGCAAATACCTCAAACTTAACAGCCCATCCGTCAAACCTCCAACACAAACCAGCGCTTTCGAGCCTAGCCGATCACCAGGATCACCAGCTTCGAAAGCGGCATAACCCAAATTTTGGTCATACAAAAACAGTTCCCCTGCGCTCGAAGTTTCACAAGTGCTGCTCATCTGAACGGGGTGCGATTGCCTTGCCCCAGCAACTTTAAATTTTCGATTGAATCGACCCACAACAGCAATGGAAGTAGCGCCCAGTACAGGCTGCAGCGCACAAGAAATCCCAAGGCGCTGAGTGGAGGGAGATGCGATGTGCACCAAATGAGGCAACTTCCAAGTTGCAGAAGGGGCGATTTGCATGTAACTGATGCCAGCGATTGTGAAAATGTCACACCAACCTAACGCATCCAATGTTTTGTTTTATTGAATTGTTGTTCCATTAAGCCGAATCACAACTGCAGAGCTGCGAATTGGTTGTTGCCTTGAGGTGCAATTATTTATTTCAATTGCCATCATGCTAAATACATTGGTTGAATAATGTCATACGAACCAACCCAACTTACACACCAAACGCAATCGGAAAGCATGGAAGTCCGCATCCGAACGAATGGTTCAAACCAAGACCGGTGTCAAATTTCGTTTGCAACATGGCAATGGTTTATTTTAAGTCAATGGACACGATGCCATTGTTTGAGGCGTGACCTTCAACCCAGTGCAAACCATTTTCACCATACTGGTGATTGGATGCCAGAACTTGACCTTTTGTTGGGTTGTGCTGATGTCTTTTGAGTTTCAGAAACATGATTTCGGAATTTCGTGTCAAAATTTTAGTTTCCAAACTAGACGACGGATGGCCCGAGAGCGTAGAGGAGCAGAGTCTTCTGTTGTTAAGATGGAGACACTCTATTACAAGACAATATATTAAAGATGTATTATAGGCTGACGAGAAGAGGAGTATCAAGACAATATATCACAAACACAAGACAATAGTTTGCATCGTATCTTTCGTATAGTTTTTCACACACCAAATTTTTTACAGACAAACGTTTTTGCACACAGAGACTTTTACACACAAACGTTTTTACACACAGACGTTTTTACACGCAGACGTTTTTACACACAGACGTTTTTACACACAGACGTTTTTACACACAGACGCGTTTACACACAGAAGTTTTTACACCAAGAAATTTGTACACACAGAAGTTTTTACACACAGACGTTTTCAAACAAAGATTTTTTTACACACAGACGCTTTTACACACGGAAGTTTTTACACACAGACACTTTTACACACGGATGTTTTTACGCATAGACACTTTTACACACATATGTTTTTATACACGGACGCTTTTACACACAGGCGTTTTTAGACACAGACGCCTTTACACACAGACGCTTTTACACGCAGACACTTTTACACGCAAACACCTTGACACACATACGTTTTTACACACAGACACTTTTACACACAGACGTTTTTACACAGAGATGTTTTTACACACAGAAACCTTGACACACAGACAGTTTTACACTCAATAGAGCGAAAGGCGTAGAAGAGCATGTTACTCTCTTGTAAGTAGTATCAAAGACATTGTAGGTAAAAATTTCATTGAAGATGATGCAGATGATCAGCAGAAAGGAGATAGAACTGCTATGTTCTAAGCAGAAATAGACAAAGATAGACACAAAATTTGACAGACCGACAGAGACAAACAGCAAAGAAACACATACACACACAAACGCACAAACAAAGATACCACACTCACACACACAAACAGAACACAAAGAGGAAGACACATACACGCGCACACACACAGGCACAGACATACACGCACACAAAGAGACAGACACGGGACGCACAAACAGACACACAGACAGGCACCAGGACACACACTTGCTCAGAAATATTTTATCGAATTACTAATGTGGAATGCATCGTACGTGCAAAAACATTTCAGTTAAACCTGACAGGAGAGCATTGATGACATGATCTGAGAAAGATCGAAAAGTAATCCCTGTTGGGTCCCAATTAGAAGCAACTGTTCCATCTGCAATAGTCGGCAGAAATTCAGATTGCGAAAGCCGTGCAAACGAGGAAATTGAGCAATATAGAAATCATTGAAATCAAGTTGGTTGGAAACGGCATGATGGTTTTTGGGTTAGCCAGGCCCCATTGCAGAAAATTGACATGAAAAAGAAGCAGGTACGTCGATGAGCGTCCTCATCGATATCACAGGCAACTGATGAGTGTCTTTGTTAGCGCCGGTCTCATCAGTGCCCCCGGCGCCCCCTGCTCTAAATTCGATTTTGAAATGTAAACGGCGTTTGAGATTGGCAAACCAACATGATGTGAAAAAACGAAAGCCTAACTAGCAGCAAAAATCGACATCATCAGGTAGAAGTTTTACATCTATTCAGATGTTCCACACACACGCCCCGCTGCCACGAGGCCATTTTGTGCAACGATTGCACCGCTCTACGTCACACAATCTCCACCAAAATCAATACGAAGAGTTTCGATGAAATCACCAAATAACGATGCAATGCAGAATCACCAGCTATAAATGTACACGATGGAAACCAAATGTCCCAATCACAAAGTAATGTCCAGGCTCAGCTCAACAGATGAAGATGGGCATCACAATAGATGAAACAAGTCAGTAGAGGTCAAATACCTCTCCCAATGCATTGTCCATATTCCGCTCTCATAGATGAAGATGGACACCATGTTGTACAAAACCAAAAGAGGTCAAATACCTCTCCATTAAAGAGAAGTTGTGTTTTTTTTCCTCTGGAGTGGCCGATAAAGCTCAGTGGCTCGGTCCTGAAGGTGAGGATAAAATTACAAGCAAAAGGAGATGAGAACATCTCGTAAACTGTACAAAGAGTGGCGGCAAACAACAACCTATCCACGTCAGCGTTGGGTAAAAATGCATTTCCCCCGGTCAGAAATGCGTATCGACCCACGCAATCAACAAAAACACACCAGGAACACGACCAAAACAAGCCAAAAAGGAGCCCAACGCAACCAACACATCACTGCCGCCAGCAGCAGTGATGGGAGCTTTCAGCATCCTCACCACTGCCATCAACTTCTCTCAATAAGAGATAGGTTGAGCAAAAATCATCTAAACATAATGCAAAAATTAAAGAAGTAGTGCTTGCCGATAGAGCACTGTCCTCCCAATATAATACCAAGTCATCACGAGTAGTGATGACTGTGACAAATATTCAAGACAAGTTCAGGTATTTCAACCAAAATGCGAAAATCCAACAGGACCTAATTACAACCACTAGTCGCGTGCGCGTGCGTCTCGCGTCGAATGGGGTCGGCTTAACTCCGCGTCGAGGGTGTAAAAACAAATTACCCCAAAACACGACGGCTGTCACTGCAAACTCTCAAATCCTTTTCCACACAGGAAATACACGAAAGCAAGTTGTTTGTCGTGCACAAGCAGCATGCTATGGTTGAACTTCTTCTGTCTCAGCTGCTTTGCCTTTGCAACATGCAACGGCGGCAGTAGAAAAACATCATCTTCATGTTGGTGAATTCATTGGTGATGAATTCACCATCTCTCCAAATCAAACTCATCTCCATTTCCAACTTCTCTTCAAACGCATTGTTTGCACAAATTCCAAAAACATCCAAACTGTTGACGAAAATAGTTGGCAGCTTCCGAAAACAAAACGCATCATGCAGAAAACAAATCCAGTCAAGGTTGTGGTTGAAAACGCATGCACATGTGTTTGAAAAACAACGTTGACCTTGACCAAAAAGTCGTCCACACCAAAATCATCTCCAAATTCACTTGCACTCCAGAAAACCTCGTTGCAAATGAATTTCAGTTCCAAAAACATTCTCCTTCTTCACCAAGTTGACGAAAAACATTCACATGCACATAAAACGCATCTTCACAGTATTGTAACCAATTCCAGTTGTCTTCAAACCATTCTGCATCATTTTCAGAGCTCTGCCCAAATAATCCATTGACAACGTCATGTTGTAGCCACCATGCAAGTTACATCCAGAAACGTAGCACATGCAGTCCATATGCACGGGAGTGTATATTTCCATCCCCCTTTTGCTGCGTTTCCCATCCATAGACAGCCGAAGTCCAGTGAAGTATCAAAAAAAGGAAAAAGGCTTGAATGCCACACATATGTATAGAAAGCTGTCATCTGTTCAACTTCCAGTGAGGACTTGCACACGTAGTCGCATCTTCACACTAGTTGCAGATGTATTGCAAAAATACGTGTGTACTTTGATTAATCCTGTGTTTATGGCACAACTAGTGCACAACATCGCCAACGCGTCACGCTTTGTTAGAAAACGTATCAACGTCAACAAAACGCATCGGCTCACAAGTCACAATACGTAGGCCCACATGGACTAGTTACAAAAGAAAACCATTCTTCTCAACAATCTTCAATCACGCACTTGATATTACGGACTTTCTTTTTCTCGGGGACAAATCATCTGAATTCAAATGCATCTTTGCGCATCTGTGCAATAACAACCCAGCAGGTTGCATCCATACATTGAAAATAAATCCACCACAGGTAGCATAACACGACCTGTACACAGTCATGCACAGAATTGGCACTCAGTGAAGCACATTATGCAGAATGCTCAGAAGCTGCAATACGGAAGAATCCTCAAAACGACATACTGTTTCAACCTAGCACGCTGGATTAGTGTATTTTGAAATCGTAGCATCACGCGGACTTGAAATATGATCTGCCACGCAGGCAAATGAGGGTTCTTGCTCCGCGGCGGAGCATGATGCTATGTACAAAACACCAAACGGGAAAAAACACCTCCCTATGAATCGGGACTCCTACGATCTTCAAACCCGCCGGGACCCACGCAATTCCTCCACCGCGGCGGGGGGGACAGCGAAACGTGGGGATTGCCACGATTCATGTCGGACGCTGCCGTAAACCTGACAGTGCTTTTGTGTGCGAAAGTCCGTTGAGCGTATGACATTCATGGGGACTTTCTGTGCATTTTCCCCACCTATCTTCAACTGTCAGACTGCTCCTAAATTGTTTTCTCAGCTTTGTCCGTTGAAGCTTCAACCTTGCTCTAGGTCCTTGCACACATTCATTAACGGGGGTGGTACGAGCTAACTAATTCAGTCAGATTAATTTAAGCAGCAAGCAAGAAATAAAGGTGTCCCTGTGTTCATCCCACCGTGATGAGCAGCTCCGAGCTGGTTATGGATGATGAACGGCTCATCCACATCAAGGAGGTTACCCAGCACCATGCTGTGTGCAGCGCTTTGCTAGAGAACCTGCAGAGTGCTCACTACAGCTTGCTCAAAGCCAAGCAGCAAGTGAGACAACTTCCCTGGATGACCAGGGCCATACGGCAAAAGCTTGACGACTGACCAGCTGCACAAATAAAAATATGAGCACTGCGGAAACAGCGAGTCTTTTTCTTCCCGCCGAT